TTTCCCCTGAGCAGGTCTCAAAAACGTTAGAAGTGGAGGGGGCAAGCGCGGGGGAATGCAGAAGGACACGAGCTGAATATCCATGACCCCGAGCACTTCAAGGACCCCAAGACCGCTATGGCGGATAGTTGGTTCGGCGCGAAGAAGCAATGTCACTGCACATTATATACGTCATCTGCTATATGACTTGCAGAACGTAAACACAGCTGAAATGGAGAAATACAGTTTATGTCAAACCAATAACCTTGTCAGGATTTTACACCGTCGTTTTCCTCCGCTTTGCGGGCGGGCCAGTGAGACCGTGACCGGCCTCAGAATCAACAGAGGATCCTGAAGGCTGGATGCGGGACTGAGCCCAGGACCTCATTGCTTGGGTCATTTCGAGAGGCTGTGTTTCAGCCCACAATGTGAACCGGGCCAGAAGACCGAGGCGTGAGGCGTGGCGCTTCTCATGATACAGCATCGTCTCGGAACTAGACGCGTCATAGGCTTACCGCCCGTGGAAATAACCAAACCACATACCTTGGGCATACAGCAGGCCATCCAACCCGCATCAGTCCTGCGAGCATCCCGTCATCCGGCAACGTCGCCAGCCCCGCATACGGACAGCAGCGCTTGATAGCGAGCGTCCGGAGTGCAGCGTCGTTCCAGGAGAGCCCGGCGTGGCACACGGCAGACGCGACACGCGATGCGTGGCGTGGAAGCTCCGATGATAACAAGACTTCTTCTGCAAAACTATGGTCGAATTTAGTTGGCGGAGAGGTGCGAGTGGATTCGAGTTTGGTGCATGCGCGGAGAAGCCCGCCCTCGCCGCTGTAGAGCAGCGAGAATGTGCTCCAGCCTGGGTAGATCATAAGTACGGAGCGATGATACCCTAGAAAGGAATAAGTTGAAAGCTCTGAACGTCATTACTGAGGACCCACAGCGTTCGAGAGAGCTCACATACTAAAGGCGCCTTTTAGTTACTTGGTTTGTGACAGAATGCACGAACAAGAACCTACATTGCCCTGGTATCCCTGATACTTTTCCCTGTCACAATTCTGTAGTCGCTCCACATCCTCAGTGAGATCCTCCGGGAGCGTCTCGTTATCGTCATACTCGAGCTCTTTGGCAACAAGCATCCCATCGAGGTCAACGAAGTGCTCAATCGTCATCTCGCGGCCTTCGATCTCTTCGAACTCGTAGCACACGGCCCTCCGCCGCCCGCGCGACCGGTCTGCATAGCGCCACGGTTGGTAGTACCCGTCCGACGGCGGGAAGTCGTACCCGAGATCGCCGCTCTCGATCGACCCTACAAGGTGGCACACAGCGTGCGCGAGCCCGAGGCCGATACCGTACTCTCGCGCGAGGTCTGCGAGGAGTGCGACGCGGTGCGCGTCTGCACCCTTGAGCGCGCCCGCATTCAGGTTTGCACGCGAGTACTTGTGATCTAGCAGGTACACGAGCTTCTCAGGCGCGTATGTACCCTCGTCGGCGTTCCGCAGGCGGCACAGGCGGCGAAGTTCGTCCACAATCCATGCGTTGGTCGAGAGAGCAGGGCGCAACGCCTGGGTCATGTGCACAGGATTGTACGAGAGTGCGAGGCGGAAGCCCGAGGTGATAGGTTTGATCTCGTGCGTGACGTCGGTGTACTAAGCCATGATGCTTGTGTCGAGCCCGCTGGCTTGGCTATAGTCATATACGGTCGACATGCCGCCATGCGACAGGTGTGCGGCGCCGCCTGTGAAAGGAGACGGGAGGACGACAACAATTGTTGCGAACATGCCGTTGACCTTTTCAATGCCAACGTGCGACAAAAAGCTGTCCAATGCTATTTAGCAGAGCATAGAGGGGCAGTTTACGCTCACTTACTGCGAGCCCGTCTCGTAGAGAAGTAACTTGTAGAGTTCGCACCGCGGCTTGCTGACGTTAACGTCCACCCCAAGCGCACTGCAGACCGTATTGACAACTTTCTCCATGAAGGCAGTCCATGCAAGACTTCTGAAGGCCACCTAGAATGTCTTCAGGGCGAAAAGAAAACGCGCATATATTCGGTGATACAGACCATGCTTGCGTCCAGCTCCCACGTATCATGTACGCTGCGGTCCACAACCGTGCGTTCGCCCTTTCC